ATATCACGAAACTCTTCTTCCTCTCTTCCTTGACGAACAATGTTTTGAAAATGTACTGCATTGTCAAATTCATTACAAACCAGAACACCGTGCATTGAAGCAGATATGGGACTTTTGCAGTGGTATACAGGTGCATCAAGTACAGGAGGAAGTAGTCCGAATTATTCTGACGTTTTATCGACTTTTTTCATATCGGTCTGTCGCCGATTAACGTCAGAACTCTGTCCCTCTATAATATGCGGGAAATATGCGACCCGCGCCCGGAGCGCACTTCAAACTGATATTTTAGAAACAAATCGTCACTTTCACACACATATCGCACATGGATCGAAAGATCTATTCTTTATGCACTAGGTGGTATCAATAAGATGTTTCAAAGACCATTACGAAAAGCATTTTCCAACGTTTTCTCTACCAACTCATGTTTTTTATGGAAAGTAAGCCATGAGAAATGTCACATGACTTGACGAGATCTCGCGTTACCGAAGGTATTTCCCAACGTTATGACGTAGGCCGGCGAGATTTTAGTCACGTGGCATTGGAAGGCGGGGCTATCAAAAAACTAGAGTAAAACAGAGTAAGTTTGAAAAAATATGTTTTTAGTGATTGTATTAGTTGTTTGAGGCATGTTATGTATGTTCATCTTGTTCATAAAGAATAGATCTTTCGATCCATGTGCGATATGTGTGTGAAAGTGACGATTTGTTTCTAAATTATCAGTTTAAAAGTGCGCTCCGGGCGCGTGTCGCATATTTCCCGCATATTATAGAGGGACGGAGTTCTGACGTTAATCGACGACAGACCGATATGAAAAAGTCGATAAAACGTCAGAATAATTCGGACTAAGGAGGAAGCTGCACATTATCTCCAAAAAAAATAACATCAGGAAGTCCTCCCCATGATTGATCAAACTTTGATCCAGCATACATTCCACATTTACACATGAATTCCATCCAGCCAAGGGTATTTGCTCCAATTAGTGATTGCTCATCAATGAACAGAACATGCACACCACTGCAGTTGTTTTGGAGGATTTCACTAGTTGTGCCTTCCGGTTGCTTCATTTCCTTTCCTCTTTGACGAGTTTTCAGGAAGCTGTGAAGGGTAACGCCAGATATCAAATTGGCACTGTTACCAGTGGGACATAACACCTGCACTGATTTGTTATTTTTGAATAACTACGATTAGCTTTTACTAAACATTTTATTAAAAAGGACTTTCCAGATCCAGCGGTACCCGATACAATCACCCGCAAATGTTTGAAATCCTTGTCCTCCTCTATGAAGCTATTTAGTGTTTTCACAATTATGTTGAATGCCATCAATTGATCCTGATTCATGTTAGTTAAGTCAACCTCTGGAATTTGCAATAAATCATCTGGTGGATGGTAATTTTCATTCAACTGTTCAAGCCAGCCTTTCCCCATGTTTTCTTGATATTCCAATGATACTTCACTCCTGTTATGATCTTGGCCACCATCATCATACTGAAAGTCTTCACATGTACCTGGATCTTCAAAATCTGGATTTGGACGAATGATCTCCATCCACTCTGGCTGTTCAACAGCTTTATCCTGTGAGTCATCATCTGTATATTCATCTGCATCTCTGTTTCTGCTCTGATGATGTTTTGACCTTACAACATCAGCTTTTACAAAGTTTGGACAGGATTCAGTTTCAAGAAACTCTGTATTTTTTTCAGTCCAGAATATATTTTCACTCTTGATATCTGAAATTTTTCTCCAATTTGGGAAATGAAGAAGGATGGTGGTCTTGCAATAATTTTCTTCTAATGGCCATGGTGCTTGACCGAAGCTGCCTGCAACTACTGGAACCTTGCCAGTTTTACAGATGTGTTCGTAAAACGAGCAACAATTTCACTGTTCTCGCGCAATGTATCTGTCTAAAGCATTTTTCTTAGTCAAAGAAATACCATCACACTGAAGTAGCCTGGCTCCTGAAAAACTAACAGACTGGAAAGTGCGACTACAGCAATACAGTGGAAGGGAGGATAACTCATAACATGACTCTACCGCTGACACATCTCTCTTCACAGTTCCAAAGAGCAGTTTGAAGACACAAAGACTTGGCAGAAGCACCAGTTGTATCCTCTGCACAATTCACCATGTCATTAAATAAATCAGCAACAGCTCCAGTCCCTTGATTTCCCTTGCATGCATAGCCTGTAATGTACTTCTCTGTAGCAATTATTTCATCTGTAGATGGATTTTGTGGAGAACTTTTTGAGAGAATTAAAGAAATATCTTCATTCGCTCTCCATCCTTGGGTGTGATACCGCGAGTGTTGATCAAGAACAGGATGATCCCTCGTCATTTCAAGACGCAAAGATTTGTTTTTATCCCGAACCAATGCCGGAGTTTGTCTGGTTAATTTATGAAATTCCATACGACAGGTCTTTGTGTTTGAATGTTTTACATTTTGAAGACAATTTGTCTGTGAACACCGATGGAGCTTGATGCGGTTAGTGAGAAGTATATAATCCTCCAACAATTTTTCTTGTATAGAACTGACATCCATAAGAAGTTTTTGAAGGGGATTATTTTCTTCTGAAGGTGGTTGTGCTGTCCCTTCTAGAGGTGCCCATAATGCTTTATGTGGTTCCCCACCGTCCTCTTTGCCAGCTGGGTAAGATGCTGACATACCAAATTCTGAAGAAGCCCATTGAGCCAACTTTATAGCACATTGATCATCAGATAGTCCAGTTTGCAAAGCTTCATGAATTAAACTATGTGGTTGTTTATCTGATCGCCAGCATAAGCCATGCCAATGATCCATGCCTCTTGATTTTGCAAACTCCTGGCGGTACCAGTAGGTATCTACCCCAAAAACCGGTTCCATGACATAATGGAAATAGGAAGTTGTTCTCAAATCAAAGTAGTGTGCTACAATATGGGCATTTTGCTACACAATATTAAAAAGGACTTTCCTATATTTTAAATCCATATTTCTTCCTGTTGTATCTTTCACATAAATAGCAAGAAGTCTTCTAAGAGAAGGAAAATGGAATTCTGCACAACTTTCGGTTGTAAAAAATGATGTTAGACCACTGCCTTCATTGATTTTATATTTGTTTAGTGAACGGAGTTCTTTACCTCTTTCTGCCCAATACTGGTTGCTTCCACGTAGAGAAGATCCGAAAAATAGGATTTTTTTTGCCAAAATATGCTTCGATAGTAACATTTTCATTTTCAACATCTATCGGCAGAGACTGAAGTCTTTCTTGGGATATAATGATGTCATAGTATGCTGGATTTTTATTTTTCAGCCATTGCAGAGCATGTTGTAATGTATACCGCCTAACTTTAAAATCTCGTGAAGAATCATTTTCCCCCTGTTTTCTTACCCTTAATACTTGTATTTCTTCTGGTAATCTGGGAAACAACACTGCTGACTCATTAACCTGTTGTGGAAAAGTTACGCAGTGGCCACTTGAAGCAATCCCACGATGTTTCAGCATGTGCACAATAATACATGGTGAAATCCTACATATTAACTGTTCTTCAATTACTGTCAAATCAGATAATTCGGGGGTTGTTTTCCTGGAAACAAGTTATTTTTGGCAGAAAACGTTTTGTTGTTTTCTTTGTCTGTTGCGCATCTTTTGCATAAACCATCATGTGACATTTTCATATCTATGCGTCTTTCATGGCATGTCATGCAGTGGTTGTTGGGACCCCTATTCCATCAACCACATACAACAATTAGATACCTAAAAATTACAAAAAAATAAATTCTTTGAAATGCCACCTCCTATGGTCAATTGCACTCCAACCTTGTAATGGTAGAAGAAGATATTTGAATCTTACCAGTTCACAACTAGGTCTGTGTAACGCCAGCTGAATTCAGGGGCCTGTGTGTTTACAAACAATGCAGCAGACGATAGGCTGTGACCCGTGACGCCACACCAGTTGGCCTCTGTCGTATCCAATCAGAATCGGAATTTGCGAACAGGGTCCCGAAAAGGTAAAATTATATATCATTTTGATGTTTGACTTATTTGCCAATCGGGAACCGTCGTGCGTAACATTTACTGCAGTAAAGGGAAGAAAATTATTTTAATTAAAATCGTCAGATGATAAAAAAAAACTATGTACTTATTACATATAAAAAACGTCACATGTATCGACGAAGCAACAGAAAAGTATGTGGAAACAACGTAAGCTTAAATACTCTTAGAAACAGAGGCCCGGAAAAGGTCTATTTATTTTGTGACTGTTTGAAACGTCATATTAGCATTGCTTTTTTCGCTAAAGATAATACATGTTTGCATGAAATAAAAAAAAATTGATGTGTTACCCTACGATTGACTTCTTTTCATCGTGTAAACAAGAATTGCAGTAGTCTAAATATATCCGGATTTCCACCTGGTTTGACGATTCGTATAATTTCCGGTTTGGGTTGCGAGAACCAGATCCTAAAGAGAGAGTGTGGTAAGGTTATTCAGTACTTTAAAAATAGGACTGCGGTAACTCTATACAAGCTACTTCCGCAAAGAAGGATCTTGGAAGCATAGCATTTCGACGTTACCATGACTTCAATTGTTCGTACATGTTAGCGGAAAAGAGCTTCGCTTCTTGCGCCAAAGCTGCGTTCTTATAATAGCAGTTGTTTTCAGTTGGTAGATTCATGTACAGAACAAACATCAAGAATGTAAATATAACATAATAATCAGCTCATTCTTTGACGAAAATCGATCATTCCTGTTAGTGTTGCTGTTTTCTTTGTCAATGAAGACCTATATTACGATGTTAACATATGAACTTTCATAATAGCCTCGAAAAAATAGGTAAATAATCAAAAAAGGGAAGGTCATCAACATCAGTCTGTTTGGGTTTTTTTATGATTTTATTTCTTCAACCGTGAGCGATTCTACATTTCATGCCTAAATTATAAAACTATTATTTATTATTACATAATATCCCTGGTTGGCAATGTTAAAGTTTGTAGTCGTCCGACCTTGTGATAAGTCTTATCTTATCGGTTCTAGAGGCACTATCGGAGTTACAGGAGGAGTTGTCTGGTAACAATGGATTACATTGGGACTCTGTTGATCTTTATATCTGGTTTGTTCTATAGTTCGTTTTAAAGGCAGAGTGTGTCAAGTATCTTTTTATCAAAATTTACTTTCATAGAAAATATATATGTAAACTTACTTTGAAAATATGTTTTTGAATCAAGGAAGTTTTTGATTATTTTACTTTTTAATAAATCTTATAATTAAGTAAATAATTGTGCTAAGTGTATGCAAATTAAGAGAAGCTAACTTATTAAATAAAGTATTAAGTGCAAGCGAAATAAACATGTTTTGCATCATCACCTTATAAAATACATTGGCAGCATAATTTAAGAAACACTTACAGAAACCATCGTTCCTATTTGTTCAAAATTATTTCAGTTTTGCTGAAATGTACTGAAAATTCAAACAAATTTACTAACCGTCATTAACTTCGTTACCATCAGTATGTTTAAGGATACAGGCCAAGTATACATGTGACGACCTATTTACAGGTGAGTTGGCTTGATACCAAAAGACTATTTCCTCGAGCGTACAAATCATTTATAAATGTATGTAAATATCTACACAGATCCCCTCTCAAAAGAGTTCTACAGCAGGATATAGAGTTAATTCCCATTGGAATATAATGAATGGATGACAGATTCGTGTATTGACTTTTGATATATATTTTTGCCATGTCTGTTTTGACGTTCTGCTTTGATTTGACTATCTTACTATATAATTCATCGATATATGATTCTAAAGGATGTCTATACAGATAAGGTTATAACCGTTTCCAGCTAACCATTCACACTAATCAATTGTTGTTTTTCAGGGAAGGTTTCCCCATCAGCAGACTGCTGTAAGTACAATTACGACAGAGCATTCAGTCTTATCATAGACTTAATAACAAACAAAATGTTATCACTCCGTATAGCATTGATAACCTACAACAAGGAAGGCTCTTCACCTAATCATGTGACTTTAGATGATAAGCGTTTCTGTTGTATAGTCCGGGTAAGTCTACAAGAGAAAAACAATCTGAACGAAACAATACCTAATTTCTACACATTTCACAGCAAAATTACTAGTTATCACATATTCAATATGAATTTACTACATTATTTGAGAATATTTCGTATACTGTACAAAGTTGATCACTGATTGCATCCTCTCTCCATCAGCCCACAGCCATGATAGAGCTGAGATCGACCCGAATTGTAGGATAGGTAAGTATTCCGTTTCTACCACAATCTCATGATCATGCACACATGTGTTGGTTGACAAGGCTGGCGTAGTGATATGACCCATATGTAAAAAGTCACTCATTAATATTCAAAAATGACTTTTTTTTTACAAATTTAATAATTGTCAAAATTAATGTTTCGGCAACGACTTCATGAAAAAATATTACAGTTGAACGACTTAAAATATTGGGTGTAGCAGTATTGCATTATGTTACATAAATTAACCACGGACTATATGCGCGTAAGCATATCGTACGAAGTCTGTCTCCCGCCAAGTGACGAAGACGAACTTATCGCTGTCAATGTCCAAAACCATATGCCTACGTTTCTTCGTGACGGTTCTATGGTTGACGTTTATAGTGACAGTTCAGCCATAGTCAGACCGTCCAAATAGCGATAACGGGACGTTGGGAGAATGAAATATTTTCCGACACTGTGACAGATCTTGTTTTGGTTTCACGACCTGGACACGCGACGGTGCGACGTCGAAACGATATCGAGCGTCTGTAGCAATTTTGCCTGAAACTAGCGATCAAATCTTTAATTATCATTTTTTTTGATATTGCCTTGATAAACCCCTTTTCCGCACAACCTCACAAAGTCACCAACATTTGTCGGATGTTGACAGCAGACGACGTAAACAAAACAGATTGTGGCAAAAAGCGCATGGAAAAAGTAGTCCCGGTCAAAGTTCATCTTCTCGACTAATCAAAACTCGTGTAGGTCATATACCACGTGTGGCATATAACTCATATTTATCTAACAGTCTGCGTGTTTATACAATGATCTGAGAGTGGAATAACACAGCGTATTGTGGTAGAAATCAAGTTATCATATCGATGACAGAGGTTCTTACGATTTTCTTTAATCAGTACAGCGTTAACAGAGTTATTTCACATATCCAAGGCTATTAATGGGATGGTATCGTGGTACTGAAAATCTCACGCTAGTATTTGTGACGCTTACTCTTACCGAACACCTGGTCATGCTCTCCTTGTAATCTCTTTATTGTTTCCCTCTGTTTATATTTCGCCATATGGTCTTATTTTCGATTTTGAGTCCGAAGTATGGTTTTATTGACCCATCGGTATTCCCGTGTTGTATTGTTGAATAGGTTATCGTATATTTAACGTTAGTATTGTAATGACAGAGGTATTTCACATATCCTGAATACCAAAATGAAGATAGATGTGTTTTATTTCTGTTCCAGACCTTGCAGTGACTTCAGATAGCAATGTCGGTAAGTACATATTTAACAACTGTAGGATGAAATATTGAAACGTACACAGTATGTGTATACAACATGTGTAGAGAGTAAACTTTCAGTGTCACATATCTTAAGCAAGTATAACATTGAGTTGTTTCACAAAAGCGCTAACAAGGGATGTTTCACATATCTTAGGTTAGTATTGCGTTGACAAAGGTGATTGACATATCTTAAATAAATATCCATATATAAAACTAGGTACGTTTCCTGATAAGGACTTAGAAGAAATTCTTAATAGCAATATATAGAGGTAAGTGTAAGAGTTGTAGGGGGAAAGGTTCACACGTACAGTGCATATATAACAACGCTATAGGATAAACGTCCTCGCACGTAGTAGCTTATAAACACAGATCGTTAAGTAGAACAATAACACTCATGTTCAAAGAATATCTGACCATTTTCCACAATTACTCAAAATTGAGAGGCCTCCTTTTCTGAATCGACAATCCCACATTCTTACCACTTCAGTGCTGAACCTATTATCAATTAAAATGATTTGTATGTTTCTAGTGCTGACTGCTCTAAGGAAGGCGTACTACAGCAATGTAAAGTTATGTTTTGGATGTCCCGAGAATGATTTCTACGGTCAGTGTAACACTGTCATCGCCTGTCATCCACACACAGTAAGTATATGATTATAACGTCTGTCAATATAGAGTTATGTCGAATAGATTTGGATCTGACTTTGAAAACACGTAATTTTGCATTATAATTATCAATCTAAAAGAAAATTTGAAAAATAAAATTGATGTAAGAAAGTGGCCCTATTTTCTCTATGTATATGCATTTTAAGCTATACAAAATCAAAAGGGCTAGATTTTGCATCTATCAGTCTTAGTTTTCCTGAACACATGATACTATATCAAAAGAGTTTGTCAATTAAAGATAAACGAATACTTCATTTTACCTTTTCTTTTCCCCAGGTTTGTTACAACGAGACTCATCGGGACAAGGAGCATAATACCAGACACATGTATGGATGTATCGTACGTCTCATAACTACTCCAAACACTAAATCGTCTAATGTTTCTAAAACACCTTCCGAATACTTACATCGTAGCTGATCAGACGGCTACACGGCTGTATCTGCTTAACCTTTACCGAACATCATTCGTGGCAGGTGACATGTTCAGAGCATTTCATTCACCATTGAGCCCTGTTTTCTCTGAATATTGTTCACTTTCGATTAAATCAAGATATCTTATTGACATTCTGTTTAAAAAGATGGTATAACAAATCGATGTAACATTGGAGTTGTGATTTTGTAAGACTTATTTATCCCAAGCAGAAATCTTCTTAACCTGACACTTCATTACTACATTGTACATTGATATTTCTTTGATGTATTTTCAGTGGGAGTCTAATAATGTATATCTCAATGGCCACCATTGCAGTCAGCCAAACCACGGAAGTAACTCCGGGACAGTGACATGTAACCATTCTAAACTCTGTAACGGAAGTATGTTGCATTTTCATCAGACTGAACAGACGTATATCAACCATAAGAAGCCAAACGAAATATGTAATCGTAGTTCTTATATATTTAGAAGGAGCCTAATTAGTGAATATTTTTCATATATCTTGAATGATAGTCAAATTAGTGAATCCTTTTCATATATCTTGTATGAAGCCAAATTAGTGAATCCTTTCCATATATCTTGTATGGTAGCCTAATTTGTGAGTACGTTTTCATATCCGGTTCAAAACTAAATAGTGTATACTTTTCATAGATCTTGTATTAAAAAGCCAAATTAGTGAATCCTTTCAATATATCTTGTATGGTAGCCTAATTTGTGAGTACGTTTTCATATCCGGTTCAAAACTAAATAGTGTATACTTTTCATAGATCATGTATGAAAGCCAAATTAGTGAATCCTTTCAGTATATCTTGTATGGTAGCCTAATTTGTGAGTACGTTTTCATATCCGGTTCAAAACTAAATAGTGTATACTTTTCATAGATCTTGTATGAAAGCCAAATTAGTGAATCCTTTCAATATATCTTGTATGAAGCCAAATTAGTGAATCCTTTCCATATACCTTGTATGAAAGCCAAATTAGTGAATCCTTTCCATATATCTTGTATGGGAGCCTAATTTGTGAATCCTTTCAATATATCTTGTATGGGAGCCTAATTTGTGTGTACGTTTTCATATCCGGATCAGAACTAAATAGTGTATACTTTTCATATATCTTGTATGAAAGCCAAATTAGTGAATCCTTTCCATAGATCTTGTATGAAAGCCAAATTAGTGAATCCTTTCCATATATCTTGTATGAAAGCCAAATTAGTGAATCCTTTCCTTATACCTTGTATGAAAGCCAAATAAGTGAATCCTTTCCATAGATCTTGTATGAAAGCCAAATTAGTGAATCCTTTCAATATATCTTGTATGAAAGCCAAATTTGCGAATCCTTTCCATATATCTTGTATGAAAGCCAAATTAGTGAATCCTTTCAATATATCTTGTATGAAAGCCAAATTTGCGAATCCTTTCCATATATCTTGTATGAAAGCCAAATTAGTGAATCCTTTCCATATATCTTGATTGAAAGCCAAATTAGTGAATCCTTTCCATATATCTTGTATGAAAGCCAACTTAGTGAATCCTTTCCATATATCTTGTATGGGAGCCTTATTTGTGAGTACGTTTTCAGATCCGGATCAGAACTAAATAGTGTATACTTTTTATATATCTGGTATTGGAGCAAAATATATAAGTCATTATATTTTGATATTGATATTCTGATACGACGGCCTTAATAGTGAGTACTTTTTATATCTGGTATTGGAGCTATATTAGTGAGTAATAATCATTTATATGGTACGAAAGCCTAAATAGGTATGGTAAAGTGACTAATCAAGTAAAGACTTTCCATTTCTATGTTGGGGGAGGGGGAGAGGGGGAGGGGAGGGGAAGGGTTTAGGGTTTATAATTACTGAATACTATTTTATATATCTGGCACGAGGGCCTATTGTTTAATACTTATTGTGTATCTAGTAAAGGGGCCTAATTAGTAGTTATTTCTTATGTATCTGATACGAAGCATAATAAGTAATTATTTATCATGTACCTGGTACGGCGACCACATTAGTGAGTTATTTTCATATGTCTGGAACGGGTGCGTGGTGAATAATTATTTCTCATGTATCTAGTACAGGGGCCTGATTAGTAATCATTTGTAATGTATTTAGTTAAGGGGCCTAATTAGTAATTATTTCTCATGTATCAAGTACAGGGGCCTAATTAGTACATTTTCTCATGTATCTAGTACAGGGCATTAATTAGTAACTATTTCTCATGTATCTAGTACAGTACCTAATTAGTAATTATTTCTTTTGTATCTAGTACAGGAGCATACTCAGTTATTATTTCACCTGTATCTGGTTAGGAGACCTTTTCAGTAATTATTTCACCTGTGTCTGGTTAGGAGATCTATTCAGTTATTATTTCACCTGTATCTGGTTAGGAGACCTATTCAGTAATTATTTCACCTGTATCTGGTTAGGAGATCTATTCAGTAATTATTTCACCTGTATCTGGTTAGGAGACCTATTCAGTTATTATTTCACCTGTATCTGGTTAGGAGACCTATTCAGTAATTATTTCACCTGTATCTGGTTAGGAGACCTATTCAGTAATTATTTCACCTGTATCTGGTTAGGAGACCTATTCAGTTATTATTTCACCTGTATCTGGTTAGGAGACCTATTCAGTTATTATTTCACCTGTATCTGGTTAGGAGACCTATTCAGTAATTATTTCACCTGTATCTGGTTAGGAGACCTATTCAGTAATTATTTCACCTGTATCTGGTTAGGAGACCTATTCAGTTATTATTTCACCTGTATCTGGTTAGGAGACCTATTCAGTAATTATTTCACCTGTATCTGGTTAGGAGACCTATTCAGTAATTATTTCACCTGTATCTGGTTAGGAGACCTATTCAGTTATTATTTCACCTGTATCTGGTTAGGAGACCTATTCAGTAATTATTTCACCTGTATCTGGTTAGGAGACCTATTCAGTAATTATTTCACCTGTATCTGGTTAGGAGACCTATTCAGTTATTATTTCACCTGTATCTGGTTAGGAGACCTATTCAGTTAGTATTTCACCTGTATCTGGTTAGGAGCATACTCAGAAATTATTTCACCTGTATCTGGTTAGGAGACCTATTCAGTAAATACTCTCCAAATATGGCACGAGGACCTTGTTATGTATCTGGTACTGGGCCCTATTAGTGGACCATTGTTTTGTATCACATATAGGGGCCTGGTGAGTGAGTTCTATATTTATATTTTGGTGAGGTTATACGTTGATAAATATAGTTGCGCACGTGTACATTAAATAGATGGCGAATATAGGTTTCGAAACAAGAGCTTTAGAGATTCACACGATAGTTAAAATAACCAAAAACGATAGAATTACAAAAAACATTGAATTACTATCAAATCTTTAAATAAACGAAAGAAATTTGAGAACGAATACTAACCCAAATTTGCTTTACAAATAACTGATAATAAGTATTTCAGATATTTATATATTTACTTCATCTGACATGGCATTGCTATGTATCCTTTCTATGTTACACTGTAACTTGTATTTACAGACTCACACCATCTACACCACATCGTGAATTCATTGAAAACAACGACAACCACCACAACACCTAAACCAACAACACCAACTACAACACCTAAACCTACCACAGTATTACCAACATCCACGACCACTCCAACACCAACAACTACAACCACAACACCTAAACCCACAACAACCCCAATAACAACAACCACAACGCCTGAACCCACAACAACAACAACAACCACAACGCCTGAACCCACAACAACAACAACAACAACCACAACGCCTGAGCCCACAACAACAACAACAACAACGCCAAAACCCACACCAACTACAATGAAAACAACGTCGCCTATGGAAGAGTTATCCACTACAGCTAAAACGACGTTTATAACAGAACAGTCTACATCAACCGAGCAATCCACTTCTGCAGCATCTATGACGTCAACGTCAAATGCTGCATCCACCGATACCTTAACTCATACGCGTAAGTCTAATGTTATGATAGCAGTTTATATATGACTTTAACAATTCAAACAATAAATGAGAAATCAGTTTGTAAACATATTATTTAATCTAAATGTGTTATTCCTTTGTGGGGGTGGGGGTGGGGGGGGGAGGACATTCAAACATTTTTTTCCATACCATACTCTTTAAAAGTTAGTAAGTCACTGATCCTTTCGTTCTTGTATCTTGTTATATTCTTATCAAAAAATGACATTTGCCCTTATGACCAATAAAATGTAACTAACCAATCAGAGAGCAGTGTTTAGTATAAAAACAGGTATTATCAATTTTGACATCATTGACGCCCTAAAATTCTTTATATTTTTATAACAGTGACGTCACAATACAGCATTCCTTATTTCGATAGTTTTTTTGGTAAGATGTGAACATTCTCTTCACGGAAGCTGATGTTCTTATTAAGATTAATGTAATAATAAGAATTGTTTGGCCTGTGGATGAATAACAGATACACTTTACTCGGGAGTTTATATATTAACATTTTCCCTCACATCACACACGAAAAAAATATGAAATTTTGAACATGAAACCAAAAATGTAACTGTTCTGTCATATAGAAAAAGACGGTTTTTTATTATTTTGTTTCCAGAACAGATAGAAACGACAATCACGTCTATTTTACCAACACCGTGCAAACAGGGTATGTTAAATATCTAAGTATGATCGACTTTTACTTTAGACTTTTGTCAAGTCTGTTTGTTGATGAATACAATTAGTATAAATATCAATTTCGCTGGAGATATGCCAAAAGAGTCTAAAAGCTTTTATTTGAGCCACGAAAGATAATTGTTTCTTTTAAATGAAATCAATAAAACATTGTATTAAATATGACTTCGCAATGACATGCTCTTTTACTATAGTTCCTATGTTATCCATAGCAAATATCTGTGTTTGTTATTTATCATACACGCTTGCTGTTTTATTCTCAATATAAGCAAACCAACATATTGTTTATTTATGTAATGAGTATCTGGATTGCAATGTACAGTTACATGTATATTCGTTGATTTGAATATTACTAATATTATATATTTTATATATTTGACATTCATTTGACATAATGCGATTACGACATGTATTTCCTCTCTTAAACATTCATATCAACATACCTATAGTATATTATATCATAACAACATCAAAACCTCATGATTAAGGAGACTGTGATGCTTTAGTGGTCAGTGTTGCGGATCTACCCGAAACACTAATGCGTAACTGTGGTTCCAGGGAACGGTACTCTGATGTGTATTGACCATAACGATCCTCCGAACTTTGTATGTGAAACATTTGACCGTGAAAATGGTTTGTGTGGCTGGACGTCTTCAGGTCATGATCGTGCTGTTGACCAGTGCCCAGTATACTGCGGCTTTTGTGAGGAATGTAAGTATTAAGACTAAAGTAAAACGATTTCTATTCCAGGAGTACATTTGTGATGTTACCTAGCTCTACGTTTCTTTGGAAGTGATGTTTCCTCCCTTTCAGCTCATTTCTGTATATGTTTCATTACTTGGATTCGACTTTATATAGTGTGTGTCGGTGAAGTAGGAGACGCTAACCCTTCTGGAACATCTGGTCTTATTCTCCATCGGAGAATGGTTTTGTTGACATTTTGGTATTCATTTAATGTTTTATTTTAACTCGAATGTATCCAATACTACGTTCATCTCGATGTAATGTTTCCTCCCAGATAAAATATTTCTATGCTAGTTATCACAGGTACAACAACAAGACAATTTATTTTTTCCGAAATGCTATATATATATATATATTAAGTATGACCTGATATACGTTGCAACCATACCTTTTTATTTTTGGCTTAGTTGTAGTTTGGCGAGCTTGGATATATTTATTCTTTGACAGTATAAAGCATTGCTCTTGAAATTACAAATGTATACCAAACACACGTGTATGCATTTCTCAGATATATAATGTAGCGTAGAGTAACGCTACTTTTGTATATATCAAAGTTGATGTTATTAACTATGTTTAAGTTAATTCAGTCACAACGGTTGGCTTAAGTTTTTACGTTAGTTCATAAAGCATAGCCAGTGAAATGTGTATGTGTGATTTATACGATTTGCTGCCTTAAGGGGGTGATACAAGTCATATGGCATATCCACATGCATATACAACCTAGTGAAATATTTCACTTTAACAACAACAAACATACCCTTATCAAATACCAAAATGTTCATTAGAACATAACGATCATTTATACGTAATAATAATTTTAAAAAAATGACTCAAAACATTCTGAGAACATATTTAAATTTATTGGATGGTTGCGTCCCTACCTCACACAAGCTAAGTCCTAAAATTCCAAAAACATCATATTTAATATCTTCAATCCATAGTCTATGAAAACCTAGAAAAGAATTCACTCAAAATCCATTTACAATGAAATACTGGCACAATTTCCTGATGGTTGTTTGGCTAAAATTGGTAGCCATTTCTTGCTAGAAAGTAGTCCATGTAGTCAATGAAGCAGAAAGTATGGAGGCCCAAAACTGCAAACTGAAATTAAAAAAAATATTTCCCTCAGTTTTGGCTCTATCCTCTTAAACCTTTGTAGACTACATTATGTTTAAATGCAGTTTTGATTTCCAAATTGAATTATGCTTTTAAACAATCTTTGAAAGAGTTATCAACCTTTATTTTATCTCCAAGCAGTGTCTTTAAATCTGCTTGGCTTTGTTGCTACAACATGTAGTTGTGCTTTTCAATTCAGCATTTGAATTTAATTTTATTTCAAAGCATTGTTCCCCCTTATTTCTTCAACATTTTTAAAAAGGTTGTCCGGAGATTTCTTCTCTCGGTTTTTGACCAACATTGTTGAAATTTGGTAGGCTTTATTTTCATGAATTGTGTTTGTGTTTCCCAATTCCCAATTATTTATTGAACAATATTTGAAATAGTTATCTGTACCGACACCATTATGGAAAACAAAAACAAAGGATAAACCTTGCATATGAAATTCATGTGATCTATTATGATCTGCAGACAGGAGCCTTTCTGTTCAATGTATCTGTTGTCTAGGAAGCCAGATAGAATCTACAGTGTGATAGCTGCATTTGTCAAATCAGTAAACATATAGCTGTAAAACATGACTTCCATAATTGTTGGTTGTCTGAAAATATAAATTAACAACACATCACTAATAATACTGTTAATATGATTCATTATAAAGATAAGCTGAAGATATGCTCTTAGATTTCGACTATCTTGACTATTTTATCCAAATTAATTAAGTGAAAGATATACATCGTCATAGAATAAGTTAACCCAACCTAATCATAACATGTTTTCCATGGTGCAAGACCTGAAAAGTATTTTTTGCACAACCTAACTCACGGTAAGCAAAAACAGTTTTTGGGGCCATTGTACATATAATCAACATAAAAATGAAATGTCCAGTGAACCATATATACTTGTATAGGGTTATTAGCAAATTTGTTGTTGAAATTGACAACATGTGATAGGTGTGAAAATTGCCTGCTGAAGTGCAGTTTGGATTATTTCTGCAGTTATACTTACCGACGAGAACATTGAACACAAAACTGTTTGATGACTGGCCACTTAGTTACACTCCTGCTAAGGTGGGGCTTGAAATACTGGTTGACTTGGTTGAGTAGCTAGCTCAGATTAGGCTATTTATCTCACTGGTTGGCTGGGATATTTGTGCGACTTAGGTTGGATTGCTTTTGTGTTAGATGCCTGCACTTATATCTGAAAATATCAAACAACCTTTTCAAAATATTAGGCTAAGTAGAGAATGGGTCTATGGTGTTTGATAACATGACAAACACATCTAGGGAAGGTCAATAGCAGGGGAATGTTGGAATGAATGACCAACTGTGCTCAAATGGACACCACTTGGAAGAAGATGAAAAGAATTATCAAAATAAATCTACCATAGCATCACAAAACATGGACTTGTATGTGTTAGGTACAAGGTCACTTGTCCATGCCCTATGCAACACCTGATGGACAAGAGTTTTGCAAGTTGTAAGTAATGATCAATTGTAATATGTTTACCAAGGAACAATTGTAATATGCTTACCAAGGAAAGGATTCATTGACTGACTGTTATCAGATTTTTATGAAAAGGCTTGCAGGATAAGGATAGGTAGAAGCTATTTGGCTGGCAGTCTGGTGAGTTGGCAGAGCTAGTCGGCTGATTTGACAAGGTTGGTTTGCTAGAAATTCAAGTGGCCCAACTGCTTCGGTGGGTAATGTGTAGTGTATCTGTCATCTATAAAATAAGAAAAATATAACAATTCTACTAAAAGCATTTTGTGAGTGACATATTACCTACACAGTTTGTGTAGTAAAATATTTCATTTACGTAATTCGTCTGCACTATGTAACTTCACATCAGGTGGCATGTGTCCTCAATGTTGTTTGATAAATGGGTTACACAGTACAATATCTTAGCTAGAATACATCAAAACATTTATCTTGACTTTCATCCTGATGAGCGCACTTATACGTTTAACCTACATTTACTAGAGACAGTCCATATTGCCCAGTACTTCTTTTTCTGATGAGTGTAGGATGAACAGAGGGGTCACATAAAGTAAGAATGTATACAGCTAAAATTACACTAAATATTGGGCCTAGAACAATGCTAAGCTGAGAATTATGACTAACCATCTTGAAAGGAATGGTTGAACTTGACTAGTGAATTTTACTTGAGCAGTTGACTCACCTTGTTGATTGGTATAATTGACTTGGGTAGTTTGGTTGAATTGTGATGGTAAGCTGGATAACTAGCTGAAAAGTCTGGCTGACTGGACTGGTCAACTAAGGCTGGCTGACTGGTGTGGTGGACTGGACAGGTGGACTGGTCTGGTGGACTGGACTGGCCGACTGATCTGGCTGACTGGAGTGGTGGACTGGACTGGCTGACTGGACTGGTTGACTGGAGTGGTAAACTTCGGGTGGTGGACTGGACTGATGGACTGGTCTGGTTGACTGGACTAGCTGACTGGACTAATGGACTGCATTGACTGGTTGACTGGTCTGGTGGACTGGACTGGTAGACTGGTCTGGCTGACTGGACTGGTCAACTAAGGCTGGCTGACTGGTGTGGTTGACTGGACTGGACTGGACTGGACTTGCAGACTGGTCTGGTGGACTGGACTGGACTGGTTGAATGGTGTGGGCGAGTGGTCTTGTTAAGTGGACTGGTTAACTCGGGGTGGTTGACTGGACTGGTGGACTTGGGCTGTTCAACTGGTCTGGTTTACTGAACTGGTTGACTGGCTTGGCTGACTGGTCTGGTGGACTGTACTGGGTGACTTGACTGGTGGACTGGAAATGGGGTTGGTGGAGTGGTCTGGCAAATTCGACTCGTTGACTGAACAGGCTGTCTGGGATGGTTGACTTGTCTGCTTGACTTGTCTAGTTGACTAGGCTGTCTGACATGTTTAGTTGACTGACTAGTTGATTGACTGACTGGTCAGCTAGTTTGCATGTAACTGTTGCCTGTAAAATTGGAAAAATTAAACAGTTTTACACAAAACATGTTGGGTTGTTTTCTAGGTAACAATTCTATATAAAAATAAAAGTTACATCATTAAAATCTCTGGTAGACGTAGGTTCTAACTCCTGAACAAGCTGTAAAGTTTTCCTTTATGTGTCCTTTACATATTTTGCAGAACGAAGGTGCTCCTAATTATATCAGATAAGAACAAGGTGATTATTGGTGTAATTATTAGTTCGGAACATCAAACATAATGCTGCTTTATTTTATACTGTCAGAGTTTACATGAATTACTTGTCCATTAATTATTTGCACAAGTTGTACCCAATGATGCAGCATTGACACCAACATACTTTTAAGTGGTTTGGCTATAGAGGCGGGATTGCTGGATCAACAAAAATCAAAGACTGTGTACATTTATACAACATCTCAGAATACTGAAGTAATAACACTGAACATACACTTAGTTGTTTTAAGTTAATATCCAAATATTACAAGAATACAATGATATTCATGGATTAAATGATTATTTTGGACATGTAGAAAGTATGCAATAAATGTCTTTATTCATACAATGACATAATCTTATTACTTTGATCAACACAGAAATAAGTGTTCATTTCTATAATCAATTTCTTGAACTCACCTAAATATCCCCAAATTTCAGATCTCCACTATTTAGGTGTTGGTGTAGATTCTGCACTATGGTTTTTTGCTTTTTTCCCTTGTATTTCACATCGTACATGGCCCCATCTTCCCCATCTTTTCCTGCAACACATTCCAGCACATACCCTTCTAACCACCTGTCTTTGTTGAAGTCACCTAATGAAAAAGAGAAAGTGAAAGGACACAGCTTAATTAAAGCAGGTGTTTTCAATCGCAAATTAATTAAAAA